TATATATACCACAACAACATATATACACATCAAGGTTCCAGAATTGTGCTGCTCAAGGTGGCTGCATGTTGGAGTAGCTCTTTTACATTCATCCTGAGATTTTGCTTTTGAAAACTTTAATTACACATTTTTCTGGATATAAATCCCTTTTTTCGTATGATTACTTCCTCTGGTATCAGATGCTGTGCTGCTGGAAGGATTTTTTATTGAAAACTTTTTTACAGTTGGACATTTGTTATGATACGTAATCATAACAACAAGGTGGTTTTCTACAACTGGGAGCTGCTGGTTAACATCTCAAAAGCTCAAATAAGACCTCAACTACAGCCCCAAATCACAAATGAGTTGAAAAGGAGGTGCAGTGGATGCATTACAGTCTAGCAGGAGGTATATGCTCGAGTGCCTGACTGCCGAGATCTTGGAGGTAGCGGAAAACACGGCTTGTGACAGTGGGAAGACCGAGATTGTCCCCTGGCACCTGCAGTTGAGTCCGCAGCGACAAGGAGCTCTGCAGGCTGCTGCAAGAAATGGCCATTGCTCGAGGAGGAGTTCTGCGGCATTCAAGCAGTCCTGCTGCCCAATAAGACGAGAGGTCTACTGGGTCTGGGTGGACGGATCGGCATCTGCAGCCAGTTTCTTCGGATCTGCTGTGGGACGGACTGCTACAAGAAATCCTTCTTGCCCAAAGCCATCAGCATCTAGAACAACTCTAATGAAACCAAGATGAGCTACAACAACAATTCATTTCCTTTGGGATTAATAAAGTATATTTGAATTTGAATAATTTTTTAACTCATTTATTAATCCAGAAGAAGAACAGTTTATTGTGGTAACATTATCACTCACTGCCAAAATATAAACTGTTTTTGTATGTTTGTGTTTTATGTACCATATTTTTTGGCCTATAAGGCGCATCAGATTATAAAGTGCAATATCATTGAACAGGTCTGTTTTCATACATAAGGTGCACCGGATTATAAGGCTCACTGTTGATTTTTGAGAAAAATTCAAGGATTTTAAGTGTGCCTTATAGTCCGGAAAATACGGTATTTGAAACTGGACGCATTTTAATAAAACTTTCATCAAGTGACCACTGAAAAGACATCTACAAGTGATGAAACTGTAATTCAAGATGGCCACCACAGCTAATCAGCATTAGCCAACACAAGATGACTACAACTCAGTCTGTTTTACAGATATTGCATTACACTTTCTCTAAGTGGCTTTAAAAATCTGTTGGACTCCTGGCAAGGACCATTGCAGACATGTTCCTGTTTTTAGTTTTCTACATTCACCTTATAATCTAGCTGGTTTTGTTACTTTTTTTTGCCATATTATTTGTAAAAAAAATAAATAAAAAAAATCTGTATGCCTTTTTATAATTGTCCATTGTTGTCATCATTCTTTGTTGAAATCAGGTCTCTCTTGTAAATGAGTCCTCGAGGCTCAATGGGATTAACCTGTCTAAATAAAAGTTGAATGAAAAACAGTTTGATGTGGTAAAAGTTGAGAGCTGTGCATAAACAAACAATATCTTTCAATTCTGATTATGTTTTTATGACAAGTTGACGTTTTACTGTGAGACTGTAGTGAACTGTTGATTTTCAGCCAAAACAATCTGAAATTTCCTGCATTTTTCTTAAAGAAACCCTATATTATTATATATGTTTATATATTTGACTTTTTGCTACAAGAATGCATCTATATGCATTTGCCTGATTAGTGCATAAAAATAATAAGGACAGGACTGTGGAAAAGAAACTCTGTCAGAAAGTTCAGACTCTGCAAAACTTTTTCTTGTTTTAGTGGATTTTTCACGGACACTGATTTTGATCTCTAATCCCAACGGGCACATTTTATTTATTTAATCTTAAAAATAGAATCCCCCTGCTCTGCTTCTTCTAAAAAGGACCAAACAGCTGAGCACTCATCTCAAACTGTTGTTTTAAACCGAGGAATCCCGTTTGAACACTGAAACAAGATGATATCCAACAGATGATTTTATACTGCGAGGGTTTATTTTTAATTCATCTCTCCAACTAAATGAAGTGTTTTTTTTACAACACAGATAATTTGCTGATAAGAACTGTTCCTTGTGTGCGCTCAAACATTCTTTGAACATTGTTTTTACGTTTAATTTTCTGTTTATGACAGAGTTCTGTTATCATTAATGACCTCTTAACACTAAAGTCATTCTTGCTTAGATCATGTATTTGCTTATATTCCCTTTTCTGTATGAACACTGATTTGCATCACAAAATCAGATTTGTTTTTCCTCAGATGAAGGTCCGAAGGCTCATGAGCACACGGAGGCACACAGAAACCCAGACACGAGTGGTGCTTAGCAAAGACTGGGACTGATGGGAGAAGTGGCTGCAGCTGCGGTGGATGAAACAGGGAGCAGGTGTAGACGGGCGTGGCAGGCTGACTGAAGAGCAGTAACTGATGGCGCAAAGGTTAAACACGAGGACAACAAACCACAGGGAACGTTGATTTCCGTACTTTAAAAGCTGTGTGAGCTCCTCGCAGCTGTACAAAGCTGGTTAGGACCGTTTCCCATCCTTCAGAGAGGATTTCCACGAGAAGCGTTGACGCCAGTGACATTAATCCGTTCACCGCGGCAGATCCAGCTTCTGTCACCTTCAAGGCGAACGTTTAAACTCAACATTCAGTTAAATTAACTCCTCCTTCATAAAACATTTTCAGCACTAATGACTTCGGAGGGAAACTGTAAATTCATGCTCCCACGTTCTGTTAAACTGTCAACTTTATATTTTTTAATATTCGGGTCCAAAACTCACAAAATCCCAAATGGAGATGAATAAACAAATGACAGGCTCGCTGAGAACTTACCGAGGAGGTAATTCATACAGAGAGTGATCAGGAAAACACGACTGATGTCATTACTGTGCGATTACTGTCACATTTATATGTTTCACACTACAACCAGATAAATGACGTTTGTACATTTCAGATCCTAAACATTACTTATTTCCTAACGGTTCTGCTGGAGATACTCTTCAATTTACAAAATGTGGTAAGAAAAAAAAAGCAGTCGCTAAATCAGTCAATGTCTTTTCTCTGATAAGAAGGAACAAAACGCTAGAAAGTTCCTCGCCAAAGTTCAGCCATTTAAAAGTAGCATGCAGAGTGCAGAAAAAAACAAACAAACAAAAAAAAACACCTGCATGTAAACAATGGCTGACGACACAGACAGTAAATAAGAATCTGATGTTTCTTTAGTTTATTTTGAGTCACTATCAGAGACAAAGAGTCATATTTTAAATAATGTTTGAATAAACAAAAAGTTCCCCTTTTTAAAGAATTCCCCTTTGATGTCACTTCCTGTTTCACTGTAGCTGCACTAAGTTCAAAAGATATACCGTATTTCCCGCCCTATAAGTCGCACTTTTTTGCATAATTTACATGCCCAGCGACTTACAGGCTGAAGTGACATTTATGGATTTTTTCCCCCCCTAATTATAAACCATTTTTTTGCTGAGATATGACAGTTTTCATTCATTCTGACCGAAAAAAAAGTGAACAGTACCACTTTCAGCCACTTGATGGCAGCAGAGTAGTAGTAGCAGTATGGTATGCCGTTGTATCATGTAATAGGTAAACGTGGCTACAAAGACATTTAAAAAAGTTCAGGACAAAAACAACTGGACTTTATTAAACTTTATACTTCATTGGTTTTTCTTGAACTTTTTTGAATTTACCATGACCTGGATGACTGAGAATCTTCACCAGCTATTAATGACACAATCGGCTTGCCATAGCCTCCCCACCTTCTTTCTGCTCGCTGCTTGGAACCGTCAAACCAGCTGCACCGCCCCGGCGAAATGCAGCTGGTTTGACCATTAAAGTGCAGTTATTAAGCAAACGTTGGACCGAGACACAACTTTACTATAATTTCGAGCAAACAATTGTTTTTAAGTGTTAATCTTGTTAAATTCTTGTTAACGTCCTCCCGTGCGCACTCCCACGGCCGCCATTTGGCAGCCCATCGATTTTTGGCACAACGCTGGTCCACGTTTCCAGGTTCGGCCCACATTGTCAGATTGTCAGCGGTGACACATAATATATGTGACTTATACGGCGAAGGGACATATTTATGGATTTTTCCACTTTATTAGGCAAATACGGACTGATATGGCAAGCCCTTTTAACATAAAATCGGATTCACCACGCTTACATTCCAGATATCTGAAACTGAGTTTTGACTAGACGTATTGGTTATTTAAGATATCTTGAATTGCATTTTGACTAGTCAAAATACTCATTTAAGATATCTCTAATTACATTCTGACTAGTCATAATGACGTCAGATTTACCATTGAGTTGTATGGAGGCTTCAATTCAAGATATCTTAAACTGAATTTTGACTAGTCAAAAATACAGTTCTAGATATCTCTAAGTTAATTTTGACTAGTCATTATTTGCTTTCAAGATATCTCACTTTTAGTTCTGACTAGTCATAATTACAATTAAAGATATCTTAAATTACGTCATTATTCAAGATATCTTAAATGTATTTGTAGATGTCAAAAATGAAGTTTTGACTAGTGCAAATTAAATTGTAGATATCTTGAAAGCAAATAACGACTAGGCAAAACTAACTTAAAGATATCTAGAACTGTACTTATGACTAGTCAAAATTCCTTTTAAGATATCTCAAAATGAATTCAAGATATCTTGAATATTTTATCATGTAGACGGCTTTTCTATTCAAGATATCTTGAATTCACATTTTGACTAGTCAGAATGACATTCAAGATATCTTGAATTGTTATTCTGACTAGTCAAAACGTCACAGATTTACGTAGCATTTTGGCGGAAAAATCATAAAGCATTGTAGCCTTTTTATTTTATAATCTGCTAAATCAGGTCAGTCCAACACAACGCTCGTATTTTTAACGTGATTTTTAACGCGGCAGCTCGGATTATTTATTGTATCTGCAACAAGAAGACTTTTTTGCGACGTCTTTTTCGCGACAACCGGAAACCGACACTTCCTGCTTTGCGAGTTTTTGCACTAAGGACCAATGTCTCTCTTTTCAACATCTTTGCTTAATTTGCCAACTTTTCTTTCACTGCTGAGGAGGAAATCGCAGCGGCGAATTCTCGAACTAATAAACTTAAAAGGATAAAAGTTCTTCCATGAAGAAAATCTCCACAGCTGTCAAGGTAAAAAAAGACGTAGCTTAGCAAGCTAACCGTTAGCTACAACATATGAAGAACATAAACATCGTAATAAAGAAGCCTAATTTAGTGTGCTACATTATTTGGAGTGTTTGAGACAGACATCATATAACATTTTTTATTATATTTTTATGAGGTTCCATTAGTGCCAAACATATGTTTGTGTGTGTATGTAGCGTGCTGTGTATATGTAAGTTGATGTGTTAAGTGAATCCATCTATTATACAATCTATTACTTGTTTAAAGCTAAATATGTTATAACAAGTATTAATTATATATGTGTGTGTGTGTGAGTGTGTGTGTGTGTGTGTGTGTGCTAAAATAAGATCTATTTTAGATCTCACTGTGTGTTGAAAAAATAAATGTTGGCTTATTTCTGCAGAAGTGCAGCTGGTGAAGGTTTTTGTAACCATGTAGTTGCACTTTTTTTTTACCAGACTGCCCACTACTCCCAACTCCAGCTGCCAAGTGGTCCTCCTGTACTGGCCCGCACAAGAGATTTACAAAGATGACACAGACAAAGAACACAGGTAAAAAAAATAAAATAAGAGTGGAACACATTCTTTTCTGTTACATTATTTAGTATATGATGGTTATGATTCTCATAACAATAATTGTAATAACTTTCCCACCTGTATATTATTAGTGCCATGTGAAATTTGTCATAATCTCAATATTACTTGTGTCAAATATATTTTTCTCTCCTAACTTGTTTAGAATTGTTTGTTTTTGTAGGTAATGAATAATGCAGGTTCAACCTCTATGAATTAGTAATATTTGCAAGTTAAGTAAAAATCTTAACTCTCAAATCTGTCCCACTGTGTCCTACAAAATTGCTCATTTGCCTCTTTACTTTTATTTATTTTTTAGTTTGACATATTTTTATGCTTATTTCTTGAAAGGGAATCCATCCTGAACCTGCCAGCGAGGTGGTGGTGGTGCGAAAGCCCAAAACTGTGGTGAAAAGATGTTTGCACTCCACGCTTTACAGAGCTTTCACAGGTATAACCTTTGGGGTAATGTTTTTATGTCCATGTTTCCTTTGTCAAAACTTATTGTGATTCTGTCACTCGTGTGTTTGTAGGACCACTTCCAGATCCTGACATCCTGGCATCGGGAGAAAAACAGCACCAGCTGGAGTCTCAACCACTTATCACACTTATCCTAGAGATGGTCTCTCAGCTTTGGAGCTGGTACCATCCAGACTTGGTCCTGTGCCACAGGGCTCACTGAGGTCTCACCAGTGCCCACCTGAGAAGTCCTGTGTAGCATCATTCTGCACCACATGGCTCCAGACCTCCCTGCTCTTCCTTCGATGCTGCATAGTCTTCCCAACATGTGTTTTGTGCCCACACTTGATCAACTTATGCATCTTCAGTCTCTGCAAGTGTCACATGAAGTACAGGCCAGAACCAGGGAGCAGTCCAGATGTCCCGCGTGGGTACAGCTTTGACAACCAAAGCTTACTGCGAGCTGTTTCCGCTTTCCGTGTTGCTTACAGAGGAAGTGCAGAGGAGGAGTCTGCTGACAGCACTGACAGCTCAGATGATCAGCTAACACTAAACAATAACTGTTGAACGGGTATGGTGTGATGAATGGATTGATGATTGATCAGATGAAGTCTAAACTGGACATGTTTTACTTCAACACCTTCATCCATGGTTTATATCAATGCAGCAAGAAACATAAAATTTATAAATCACCCTTTTGTTCCTTCATATTTTTAATCAGTCTCAATCTGTGTGAATCACTGTAAATACTATATCCTGATGCTGCTCAATGATCCAGGTAGGAAAATCTAAAAAAAGTTAAGTCTAGTCCTCTGGACATTCAAAAAGCAAAACAAACACACACAAAAAGTAGAAACGTTTCGTGTCTCATCCGAGAGACTTCCTCAGTCTGAGGTGCTGTTTTCAGCTCAGTCTCTTAAATAGCACCTTCTCAGAGTGGATCAACCAGTTTGCTGCTGACAACCATGTGTAAATGTGTGAACCATTTATTACTTCATTTTATGCTTAATAAATGTTTTAATGTTAAATGGTTATTGTTGCACCGGGGTCTGAGAGAAATGTAATTTCAATCCTGTGTATGTCCTGTACATATTGCAGTTTTTGACAATAAAAGTGACTTTGAGCAGCACCTCAGACTGAAGAAGCCTTTCGGATGAAAGACGAAACGTTTCTACCTTCTTTTTTTTTGTTTGTTTTGTTTTTTTGAATGTCCAGAGGACCAGACTTAATTTTTTAGATGTAAATACTGTAAATAGTTATTCATGAAAAATACATAAATGTGCCAATTTATTTAATTTGAAATTACATAATTTGATAAAATATCTAATCCACTATCAATTTATAGTGTACGGTTATAAAATGTTAACTTAAATAGTTAAATGTTTTTTATTTTTACTAGATATTGTAAATTGCACTCGTTTTCCTTGTAATTCAACTGAATCAATCCACAAATAAAAAAACAGTACAGTATGCTGCTCAAGTGTGTTTTAATTGAAGAATGTTTAAAATAATTCAAAACAAACTATCTACCGGTAACTACGTAACACTAGAACAATTTACATACATGTGACAAGCTTGGGTATGGATGTTATTTTTATTTTATAAACTTACTGCAACACAACCTTAGGACTTTCACCCAAGGACATCATTTATACACAGAAAAGACACTTGGGTTTGTTTACAAGTAAACACTGTGGAACAGAACCTACACAAGACTCAACTGTCACCTTCAACCTGGAATATAAATATGAAATTAACAAAAATAAATATGAATAATACTTAAGAATTGTAAAACAAACAAACATGAGCCTCACATTCACATACAAAAATCCAAAAGCCAGCCAGTCTTCTCTCAGGTAAGACACTGCCTAATTATGGTGACTCAAGCAGGCTGTGTGAGTGCAGTAAAGCATGGTAGGACAGATACGGTGGTTTTCTTGCCCCACAAGAACAACCAGGAACTGAACAAAAAAAACAGCGCAGAGATTGAGCCATCTTCCTCACTGTCTAACGCTAACACTATAGCCACAGGAAGTTGTGGCATTTTCTAACAATGTTGTCCAGAACAGCTAGCGCCATTGCAGCCACCCAAAATTCTGCAGGCAGCTGTTTGAACAGCTAAGTAGCAGCCGCGGGTCCTACGCGTCATTTCTTAATTCAAGATATCTAAAAGTGTCATTCTGACTAGTCATAATTACATTCGAGATATCTTGAATTGTAATTACGGATGTTTGACCCGTCAAATGACAAATAAAGTGACGTCATTCAAGATATCTTGAATTACATTTTGACTAGTCAAAATGTAATTCAAGATATCTTGAATTGTTATTCTGACTAGTCAGAATAACAATTCAAGATATCTTAAATTAGCATTCTGACTAGTCAAAATGTAATTGTGCCTAGTCAAAACTCAATTTAAGATATCTAGAATGTAACTACAGATAGTCAGACTACTCGATTTTATGTTAAAAGGGCTTGCCATAGACTGATGTGACTTATGGGGTGGAACAACGTGTACGGCGGAAAATATGGTACCAGTTATATGACAAAACAGGTAAAATCACGTGTTATGCTTAATTTTTTTTAATATTAAGGCTTTCTTCCACTTGGTGTTCGCAGACTACAGTATGCATGTCAAAGGCACAAGTTGGGTGAGGAAGGGCACTCCACTGTGCAAGTAAGTAAAGTTTATTTATAAAGTGCTTTTCACGGATATAAAATCAATGTACAATAAAAATCAACATTAAATTATACAAAGAATAAAACAAGCATAAGAATCACAATAAAACCATGACATAAAAGCCTGGGAAAATAAAAATGATTTCTGTTGATTTTAAAAACCTCCACAGATGTGTGCATTATGTAAGAAAAACAATTTAAAGCTTTAAGACATATTAAAGGGATAATCTGGAGAATTTTGAGGATCAGTTGACATCTGGTGCCAATGTTTACCTCTTGATATTATGAGGTTATGTTTGTGTAATTTAAGTTTTTTCAACTACAAAGTGTCTCATGAGCTCTTCTCATAGTGTTACTCAGGATCCTGATGGGCAGCAGGAGCCCATCCCTACCTTCACCCCCTCCCTCCTGTTTTCACTCCATTGCTTCCGATACGAAGAAGATAAATCAAATGCCACGAGTCCATTGATGTGAGGGGAAATAGATGAGCTATTTGTTGACAAAACTCATTTTCACACTTCCAGGTAATAAAATACACCCGGTTAAGTTTTTTCCTTCTTCTTCTTCTTCTCCTTGTGGCTGCAGCAGCAGGTTTGTTCCAAATCCATCGTTGCTTCTGTGTCATTCATTCTCTGTGACAAATGAGTGTTTGGTGGGATACAGTCTGGACTGGTCAAGAACATTATAAACCGTCTACACCTTTAGGCTGCGGACGATAAAAACTAGAAAACAGAAGAAGGCAACAAAATAATTATTCTAGTACATTTCGTATCTACAGATATGAGCACGTTAGCACTTTCCCTTTGATTCCAGTCTTTATGTTGAGGTAAGCTCAAGGCTCCAAGTTTCTTCTTCTTTCGGCTTTTCCCTCTCCAGGCGTCGCCACATCGAGTCCTCCTCCTCCTCCCTCTGTCCTCACTCCAACTACCTCCATGTCCTCTCCAACTGCATCCATAGATCTCATCTTTGTCTTTTTCCTGGCAGCTGCATTTATAACATCCTTCTACCAGTATACCCACTGTCCATCCTCTGGACATGTCCAAACCACTGTCCCTCCTCTGGACATGTCCAAACCATGCCAAGGCTCCAAGTTTACACTTAACAATAAATGTACATTGGTCAGTTCCTGTATTATTGTCACTGTTAAATTCAGCTTTAAATTTGATTTAATTTAGCCACGATCCCAGTTTCCACAACAAAAGTTTAAGTTCAAAAATCTTTATTATCCCCAAGGGGCAATTAGTTTCACAGTCAGTAGGCACATGAAACATCCATACTAGACATTAAAACATTAAAGACATTAAAATAATAGTATAGTAGTCCTTCGCTACTTTGCGGCTCGTTTATCACAAATTCGCTCTATCGCGGTTTTTCAAAATAAGATATGGCATGACACAGTTGGCTGATTGATGGACGAGCTGTTCGATATGCATGGAACTTTTATTTTAAATTATTTTAAATTATTTAGCATCTGCTGCACATTTGTGCAGCCCAGAGCTGCAGGATAAACTTCTTCTTGCAGCTGATCGGCTGATCTGCGTGCGGTTTGGTGCTTTTGATTGCAGAATAAACAAGAAATAAATGCATCTGATGCAGATTTTGCCAAACAGATGTGAGAACCGAACCCCGTTAAGAATTTAAACACAAATAAATCTAATGTTATTCCTATTGCACATTTAAAACCAACTGTTGTTGGCCAAAGTGCTGCACAAAACACAGATAGTAAGACGACAACACAAAAACAGGAAACCATGAAAACATACAAGAATAAAAACATCTAAAAATATAAAAGACATGCGACTCTGGTGTCACGTGCGGCACAGAATGGCTGCACTGACGGGAGCTTCCCTTCGACTCGCTCATGTTGTTCATGTTTTAACGTTTTTGTGCCTACACTGCACACTCACGCTACGAGTATGACTGCGACTCACTTGTGGAGTTTTGTGTCGCTGCCTTGCCATCCTGCCATCGTGGTTCAGGTCCCGGCCTCCCTCCAGCCTCGAGCTCAGGCTCTGGCCTGTCATGGCAGCGGCCATCTCCATGATCCTCCATCTGCCTGCACGGACTGAACTCCACGGAACAGTTTGGTTCCACGGGGAAACCTTGGATGTTCTGTGTCTGCCGGACCCGGTTCTATAGGGCAGTTGCTGCGGTTGTTATTATCATCTTGCTGCTAACAGAACCTCAATGCTAATAGGACTCTGCTGCTGTAGATGCATTTCTTTCCCACTTTTGGCACCTTGTTTCTGTATTTCTGTTGCATGCTTTGGCATTTCTTATTTTGTTCTTCTCGTCCTGAGCATTTCATTGCATTGTTGACCTTGTGCTGATCTGCATATGACAAATAAACCACAGCCGAACTTAAAACAGAATAAAACCAACACAAAGAAGCAAAAAGTGTCAACTCTCATGCTGTATTAAAAGCCAGTGAGTACAAATATGTTTTAAGATATACTTAAAGATAAGATTTAAAAAAAAGATTTGAAACTGAAAAAAAAAAAGTTTCAAATCTTTTTTTTCAGTTTCAAATTAATTTTTCTTTTCAACAATCTTTACGGCCCCACTTTAGCTCCATAATCATGAATTCAAATTAATAATTTAAAAAAATTTAAAAAAACCTTTAGACAAAAGCTTCAGTTGCAAATAGGCTCATTTTACAAATAAATGCAAGAGAGGATGGAGGACAATCAGCCGAAGACACTAAATGATACGTCTTTGTTGAGTTTTATTATTTTAGTCTTGGTTTTAAGACCCTTTATTTTGACTCTCGGTTCCAGTCCGTTAACTTTAACTTGTTTTTAGTAAAAAAGGCTCCACCGTGGTTAAAATCTGTTTGCAGCTGTAACAGAAACAGAGCGACTGGTGTTGGTGCAGCACGTTTGCAGCTCCGCCTCATGTGGCGGTTTCTGAATTAGAGCCGGCTGGGTTTCTAAATTTGAGGATTTTAATTTTAAATCTTGTGAAAATGGATTCAGTTTCTACTCTCTGA